CTATAGCGCTTTCCCATCAAGTGTGGATTAGATCAGTCCAGGGTTTCGAAGTATCATACATAGAAACTGAACAGACCTATTTAGGTGGGTGATACTTCTGGAAATCGAAAAAAAATAGCTGTCATTCTGTTTATTTTCTATTTGAAGCATCTTCCGGAAACTGGTGCTGGTAAAAGCCAAGAATTAATGTCGCACTAAGGATGTTCGGAGTTTTGTCCTTCTTGATGAGTTGTGAGCTGTATAACATCACCTTGATAGGTGTTGAAAGCTATATCTTACCATATAACGTAGTTTAGTTTACCTATTGTCTTGTTCAAGGAAGAGTGACGACATGAGTTTGGATCTTACACCGTGTATAACTTTGAGAACTCAAGATAGTGTGGCAATTTAACTATTGCTGAGGTCTTTCCATCCATTGACCCTGAGCTCATGCCAACGTACAGTCTAACGCAACAGCTTCAGGAACTGTAGGCGTTCGTAGCAAAGCTAAAGCCGCTATTTGCTAGCAGGACCATCGCGCACTCGCGAACTTCAAATAGAACCTGCGATGCTATCTGCATCCATGATCACTGTCACTCTGCAGCGTTTTCTCTTCGCATTTTGTCACTATTTGTACGTAAGGCTGCATCCGAAGGGGAACTATAATTCGTTCGAATTGCGGCGCTGACTTAACTTACAGTATAAACGTAATGCGACCACAAAATGTGTCCCCTCTTACTTTCTTTAATCTTACTAATTGCATAAAGTGGTCTTGGAGTTGATATGATGCGTTGCTGATCCTCTGGATCGTAGATAACACATCGACTCAAGTTCCACTCACTGACTAGTAGCCGGTAGGTAGTACACTGACTAACTCAGTGTTAAAGCTTATGACAGGATTTCTCTGAGGAACTGAAGTGAATGAAGGTGAGAAATATCAATAATCATATTTACGTCTCATTACAAATGAGGGGATTGAAACAAAAAAAAACAGCATTCGCCATGTATAGTCGTCCTCACCCCACTAGTCGGTCGGTGGTCGAATTTGAATTTGAACTGGAGCAGGCCGGCCGCGCCAGAGCGCGGCAGACCGCCCCTCAGCCAACCGCTTGCACGAGCTTTTTTCTTAATTTCTTCTTGTTTCTTTGCTGTCTCTTGTATTACGGCAATGTTCCTAATCAGATTTTTAGATTTCATACCGCTAACTCTTTGTAACAAACACTTTTTGAGAAGATTTCAGCCCCATCGCAAAAAAATAGTCTAGAATTCTAATGAAAAACTTGACACAATCATCACAAACTCATCAGATCACATTTGTGTCTATTTCACTTACCGGAAAAGATATTTCTTATAATCTCTATTCTTCCCGGTTTACCTGGAAAAATTGTAAAACAAACGAGAACAATCGCACAAAACAATAGTTAGCTGTACGAAATCTAAAAATCTGATCAAGAACATTGCCGCAATACGAGAGATAGCAATGAAACACGAAGAAATCAAGAGGAAAGCTCATGTGCAAGCGGTTGGCTGAGAAGCGATCTGCCGCGCTCTGCCGCGGGTGGCCTGCTACAATTCGAATTTGAATTCGACCACCGACCGACTAGTGGGGTGAGGACGACTATAGATGGCGAAAACTCAGACTAGAAGAATGGGGTGACCGGAATATAAGTCTTGGGGAACCTTCATTGAAACATTGATACGCTCGTTATCCTAGTAGAAAAATCTTGAAAGAGAGAAAGAACGATGATCCAGGGCTGAAAGTAAGAGAAAAAAACAAAGCAACTACGAATATGACAATTTAGACAACGGTTTTGAAAGCAATAGACTCAGAATCTGCGTATGATACATCAACTGTGTTAGGTGCGAAAACTGCTCATCTTTTGATGTCCTTGTAGTTCTTGTACGCCCAAAACCTCGGACAAGAACTGCTTCTGCACTAGGTTCATTTTGAAGTTCGCAGGTACGCTGGTCCCGCCACGAACACCCTGTTGGCGCGCTAGGGGGTACTGTGGCAAACGGTGCAACGACTGCGAAATCTGTTCTGTGTGATTGTGAGCCCCTACTGTAATCCTACCGTAACTACACTAGATTTCACTACCGTCTCAAACACTGGGACCGGCTGAGCCGCGGCCTCAAAAGGCCTTTCCGGCCCGTCCGCGGCCTTAATTTGGGGGCGTGGCCGAAGACCGGCCCAGCCGCGGACCTTAATTCATGTCGATATGATTGCACCGGCTGATCCGCGGACTGAATATGGCTCACCGGCCCAGCCGCGGACCGAATATGGCTTACCGGCCCAGCCGCGGACCTTAATTCATGTCGATATGATTGCACCGGCTGAGCCGCGGACCAAAATCTCTATTACGAAACACCGGCTGAGCCGCGGCCCATTTTCGGCTCGGCCGGTCCTATTATCTGAGCGTAAAGAACACTTGCGTGATGTACGACGCATGGTCAGGCTGCCCTCAGTGTCCATAGCCTCCGTTGTCTTTCCAGTTTCCAAGGCAGAAACAAGACCGGTATCCTGGGTAGCACCCTGTGTTGTCCAACTCTGAAGCCGGACATGGTCTCCGAAGCGGCCATGTCTGTGGCTTTAATCTTTGTTTTTCACACCGTATATTTTACGTGCCAGTGAATAAAAAAAAAACAGTCGTTTTGTATCCGAGCTAGAATGAACTAGATGGCCCGACAACCAGCTCCGGCTGAGCCGCGGCCGTTTTCCGGCTGAGCCGAGGCCGTTTTTCGGCTGAGCCGCGGACCATTCACCGGCTGGTCCGCGGACGCTGCGAAATTCCAGCCGGAAATGGGCCGCGGCTCGGCCGGTCCCAGTGTCTGAGGTGTTGTATCGGTGATGAAGGTGCGAAATAACCCCTGTAGACGAAGTTTCAGCAAATCCGCGGCTTTCATTTTTTGGGTCAACTAATGTGGAATAGCGCGCATCTTTTGTTCTAAGGGAGGCGAAATGGATAAAGTCGAAGAAGTCTAGGCAGATATAACTTACAATGAGGCGAATTTCGGTGCTGCTGCAGATGCACACGGCTCGACGGCTTTCTCAATGACAGTGTTCACACTGCGAGGTTTGCGTGAAGTCTTGCAGAATCGAATAGGTATAGGTAGGACTAAATACGTCAACAGGTTCCACCCCACGCGGACAACTGATACAAATCAGTGATGATTTGTGTAATATGTATGGCTGCAAGGTCTGTTGCATGTGTCCACGGACCACTCCTTTTGGCGACATACAGTCGAATAGATTCTCCGCTCAATGTAGTGTGCTTGCAGTGCCGAGAAAGTGCGGTAAAACCTGCAAATGAAGAATAGGGACGCCTGTAACGCCGGCAATTCGCGCTCGCAAGCAGTCGAATTACAAGGCGTGTCGAGACGCAGACTAATTAGATGGTCCGACGTTCCCCACGCCAACTATGCGGTGCCCAGTAACTCCAGGGCCCGTAGTAATCTACCCTACCAGGTGGCATCAAAGATGTCGGCAAGTTCGCGAACCTCGCGGCATGTTCGTGTTTCGGGCGCAAGCTAAACCTTGCCTTAGAATTCTCGCTTTTTAATAAGTTTTTCTCTCCTTTTTTGTACTTCTCGAGATTGACGTCTTACTCGCATTGATCGTTCGTAGGTTTTGATAATTTCAAAATCCCGTACTCCGCTGTCATATGCACGTGAAATTTTGATAACGCAGGCAGCCGCAAAGCACTAACATCAAGCGCGTTCGAACCTGCATGCGTCAAGTTTGAGCGCCGCTGCACTAACCATTGAACCACACGGTCAGTTTTTGACTGTGTGCGGCAACACTGACAAAAACGCACAGAAAAGTTGCGCCTGTGAGAGCGCAGGATCAATACATTGCGTGATAGACATTGACTTGAAAGAACAGCTGATTGATAAGAGCAAGAGGCAGGCGAAAGCGTTGCAAACAAGATTTAAAGGAATTGCAAGAAGAAGATGGCGCTTATTTTGGTTATATGATATAACCATTTATTTTTCCTACAGATATATCAAGAATTTAAACAAGGAAAAACCCATATAGTGGCAAAAATCATGGTTTTTTTAGAAAATGAATTTTTCTTCTGCCTGACGTAAATTGTGTGATATTGCCGCGCAACGCGATTTCACAGACGCCGTCGGCAAAGATGCCGGCATCTGGACGTGGCAGAGGCACGTCCACATGTCGGCAGGTCGCACTCCACAAACTACGCACTGTTTCCTGCACTCTCTGACCTGCCGGCAGGCTGTGAGGAGCTAGATGGTATCTCAAATTTCGACAAAAATAGATCGTGAACCTGCCGGCAGGGTAACATAAAAAATAGATGATCAGCCTGGTTTGGGGATTCCCGGAGGCAGTTTGAGGTTTTAAGGACCTCAAGTCCACATCAGGGCGACCTCAGGGCATGAGATGCCGTCAGGTAGGGTGGATTACTATGGGCCCAGATGAGCTGGCACTCCGCGGGTGCTCGGTGGTTTCCTCCTTAATTATGTTCCTCCACAATTATGATATAATGATAAAGATTTGTCAGAACTAAGGGTAGAGGGATCAAGTTGCAAGAGTAATTAACACGTTAACTTGACAGTTTATAGCGTATTGTACTTCAGTGATTTTTTTCAAGCACCCCTTGAACCAAAACATAGAGAGCGGACCCCGTTTTCATCATTCCTAGGTCTGTTCCACTTCACTGTAATGGCTCAAGATCTGAAAAGCGCTCCTGGTACGTTCCAAAGAGTAGCCAACAGTGTAACGGCATGCGATGTCATACTCCGTTTCTTTCACGGTCCTGAGTCATCTAATTGAGGTGTGTTCGGAAGTGATGGACTCGAGGAGAGACTAGGAAGCAGGGAGGAACTCACCTCTGGTTGCTGTTGCCCCGTCAACTACGACACCTGACTCCGCGAATGGCATGGTGATACAGTGTATACATATAGCGCCGGCTGTCTCAAGATCTAACAAAGCTTTCCACCTTATTACGTATCCTCTCTGCGGGCGCTGCTCTTACTGGTAGCAGCGAGCTGGAATACCGATGTGGACGGACGGCTACCCAGGTGAGCTTCAAACGCAACTTCACATCGATAGTGCTCTACTTCACTCCCTGTTGTGTTCGCCTAGTCTTTCAATTTATTGTGTGCTAGCTGCTTTTGCTCGGCGTGGTATCGCGCAGACGTCTGCAGTACATGGTCCTTTTTAGTGCCGCCAAATTCGAAATGCGCCGAAATGGTGTTGGGTCCAAGTTGTGTAAAACCAGTGTAGCGCCCAAGGTCTCAGTTTTGAATGTTATGAGTGAGCTGCATATTTTTGAGGGGACTACCGCGATTTGACTTAGAGCCTTGACGTCGTGCATTGTTCAGATAATCGCCGAGGGCAGGCGGCCATGCGATGTATGGGCGGGCGGGCACCGGAATAGTATAGTTCGCTGATTTCTAGCGGTCGCTTGCAGACATTTGGAAGAATTTAAGCGAAATTTCAAACGAATGCTTGGAGAACAATCGCGGTTTCCTTATAGATTAGCTGCGGCGCTGTGGCCGCATTCTCACGGACTTTCCGCGAGAAGCAAAATTTTCAAAAAAATATTTTCAAAGGGCCGCACGGTTCTTTGTGGAGGACCGCGCAGCCACGGGGTACTTTCCGCTGAGAGAAAGTACCTCAAACTTGAGTAATTGAACCAACGGTGACGCCTCTGCCACACAGATTCTTACCTGGTTCGACGTAAGCCCGAAACTGCGTAAAAAGAGTCCTAGCGGCTGCTGAAAGTTCGGCCAGCGTTTGCTGAAAGAGATTATTTGACGAGCGCCTGCAGAAAATTCTGTATTGCTGCCCGCTGGCAGAATATGCGACCGTAAAGGAAGTGCCGCCCGCTGAAGGTTTGGCCATGCCCCAAAATTCTGTTGACCGCTTGCAGAAAAGCGGAAAAGCACGAGTTTGCGCATCGCTTGCCCCGGCGATTATCTGAGTGTGTGCGGAGGAGATTAGGGACCAAAAACGGCGGCGGTACAGTTCATCAAGATCCAAAGATCCCTATATGAATGCCCGGGCAGGCAATCTTTTAGCTCCTCCGATTTCACTTGTAGTACTAATATTCTCCTGGCTTACGATACCAGGAAGGACAATTATGCCCCGTTTGCGACTTTCAGCCAATTCACCTAGTTACACACCGAAATCTAACCTCCACTCTCTTAATTTTTGCACAGATAAACTCCATAGTCTTCCGGGTGCGCCGAGTGCGTCTGTTGAACCAATCGTCATCAAATATCATCAAAACACATCAGTTAGCTACAACATGAACAAACAGAATTCATATTCTAGTTGCATTCCGTACTTGCACTAAATCGTCAATTCCTCTGAAATCCAACGAGGCCATACCACAAGGGTAGCACAACGCAGGTACACTGATGCTCGCCCCATTCCCGTGCCGAATTACAAAAAGACCTCGATACAGACGTTCTAGTCTATTGTTAGTATTATAGATCACCTCAAGAACGTTTGCCTTATTCACTAAGAGTAACCATCACTTGCGCAAAAGAAAACCTATTTCCGCAACTGAAGTAGCTAAGGGTTTCTTTGCCTTTTGGCGCTCACGCCATGAGACATGCATTCGGCACAAAAAGTTGACCATCTGCCCTTCGCGCGGATAGCCTGCAGCTGGCGGCAATCTTCGCATACTTGTGGTTTTTCACCCAAGGCTTCGCCTCCAGCCGGAGACTCCACACTTCATATCAATCTCAATCGTTCCCATCGAGCGCCGGTTTAGTCCTCTCTGATCCAGGCTCTCAAGCCTCCACAAGCATCCCTTGTCTCTTCGTTCGCGTTGACACCAATTCCGATTTCTTCCAGCGCCTGACATAGACATCTGAAATTTATTCTTTCAGATCGTATGGGTCCTCCGACTACTCGTGCTCGTACGTACAATCCTAGGGCAGAGTCTCCGACATCGTCAAAAGCTTCTGGCAACTTTGCCAGTGCGGTTACGGCCTCGTTATCCGATGTGAGCGACGACGTATTCGTGCTTGGACGTGACGCCAAGATGCTACGCGACGCCACCGCCCAGGCGATTAGTGAGGCTTAGAAGGACTCCAGAGCGTCGACGTCCGCCTTAGCAAAGCAGGGAGACACGCATCAGTCTTTGTTAAACGGCTTCAACGAATCAATCACTACTGTGGGTCATCGACCAACTCCCTACAGCCCCTCACGTTCCGGAGGGGATGCGCTTGCCGGACGTCCCTTATTTCACGGGGGCAAACACTGATCCAAGTCCTTTCGCGGTTTGGCTGCGTTGCTTTGAAGACGT